GCACCATAATGTTGCTCAGTTAAGAAATATGGAACACTTCACGAATTTGCGTATCATCCTTGTGCGGGGGCCATGCTAATCTTCTCCGTATTGTTCCAGTTTTAGTATATGTGCTGCTGAAGTGAGCACAAGTATGGGGTTTAAAGGACAAATTCAATTGTAACAAAAGAACTCTGGATATAAATGTGGTGTCACTGATTTTCACTACATTCTATTTTTATAGCAATAGACCTAAGTTATTCTATAATTTTAATTTAATATTTGTTACTAGTAAAGTCCTTTTCTTTATCCACAATTATTCTATAGATGTTAGTGATAAAGTCAAATTCTAATTTTTACTTATGTAAAAGATAAACGAGCATCAAAGTTACAGGTGAATTGATAAATTTTGTGATTTATCAATGTGATAAACACACATTGATATGCAAATAAAATATGCGGGTGGGGAAAGGGAAGCATAGAGTTTTGGCACCACCAGTGGGTGGTTTCTAAGGAAAAGGCATCATTTGTCTTACTAGGGCAGCCCAGAGATTTTCAGAGCACAGGCCAAGATCCCATTGTGTGGAAGAAAAACAGAGGCAAAAGATAACAAGAATAATTTTTATTAGAATTTTCATTGAGAAAAATATAGAAAACCAGTAAAAATAAGTATAGGTCAATAGTCAATATTAAAACAGCTCAAGCAAAAATAAATATACAGAAAACAGTAAAAATGATTATAGGTCAAGAGTCAACATTAAACAGTTCAGTTAAACAAAATTAAACTTTTGATCCAACCTAGGCACTCAAGCCACATGTGGAAAGAAGGTGCAACTAGACATTCTTGAAGAAGTCTGTCTGTCTCAAAGATGCTGCTTAGATCCAAAGGTGCTGTTTTAGGTTAACATTTGAAGGAAGGAGGGGGCATGGGAAGAAGAGAGAAGGAAACAGGGGGAGAAAGTATAGGGGAAGGAAGAGAAACTAATATTTCATGAGCTTTTTAAAAAAAATATGTGATGTTCAATACTGTGTTAGGCACTGTATGCATTACTTCATTTAATCCTCACGACAGCCCTGCAAGGTAAATATTACCTTTCCCCATTTTAAAGAAAAAGAAAGAGGCTCACAGAGTTTAAACCACTTGTCCCAGGTCACACAGTTGAAGTGGCAGAGAGATTAGAATCCAACTCCACTCCTAAGTCCTCCTTCTTTCCAGTAATATCAGATGTTTCTCCACCACACCACACCCTTAAGTGGAAAACAACTCTCAGTGGATTTATGGATTTTAGAAGGTGTCGATCCAGCCACCCCAATGTATACCTTTTTTGGAGCTTGGGAGTAGAGAAATCTGGACCACATTTCCAAGAGGGCAAGTCTGATTTGTCTATTTCTTCTTTGTTTCAAAAAAAAGACCTCAACAGTTGGTGAGAGAAGGCATGGAAGGATCAAATATTGCCTGCCAGACTGGTGGGCTATTAATAGTTCCCCTAGAGCATGTTCGTTAATAGAAAACGAAGAAAAAATGTATGATAAACAGACACGTGCAAACCCAAATGTGCATGTCAATCAATGATTACGAAGATGAATCAACTCTTGTAACCTAGATTCCTCAGCTGTCAAAACCTAAGGATAAAGAAACTCAACGGAACACCAAGCACACGTAGCGGAGCTATCCACTAAGTCATGTCTCCATCACGTTCACAGCTGCACAGGCTACCGTTCTCTATACTGATGGCCCCTTCTTAGTTGATGATTTTTCACAATGTATTTCATGGCTTCCATCCCTACATGAGACTTTATTACTATCACATAGGAATAAAAAGCCATAAAGCACTAGAGTGAATTTATCTTGGTCGGATGCAAAACTTATTTTCTTCACATGACTTCACAACCATTTCAAAGCTAACCAATCATTTCATGCTACATTAAGGAACATTTTAAACTACACATAAGTGACAGGAAGCACACTTAAATTGTGACGTCACAAATTAACAAGATTTTTATCCTTCAATGACATTCTGAGCTACAAGGACCAGGAAACAAGACCAGGAGACACTCAGCAACATTCAACCATCGAATTCACCAAACAAAAGACACTGGGGAGAATTCCTGGAGAAAAGTTCGTCACTTTGACATTGAACTTGGAAACACATAAGGCAAGACAGAAGACAGACAAATCATTGATACAAACTGAAACCAGGGGAATTATTTCAAGCCTCTTGCTGCAACATCTTCCCCAGAAAGCTTTCTTACATACCCCCTGCAGGCTTTTAGATTTTTCACTTGTGGGCAGTTGGGGAGGGAAGATCTTTGCACCTGCTTACACTATGTAACCACTAAGCCTTCTCTACACCCAAAGAACAAAAAGGAAAGAAAAAGGATGGCATGCTAAGGGACCACAAGCGCTAACTGCTCATCTGTAGCCTTTCATAGAGGCTGACACCATTCCCCAACCCCATCTACAAAAGCAAATGTCTAACTATGCCAGAAACCAATACTGTGCACTGAAATCTCTCAGTGATCTAATAACTCAGGTCCAAAGACCAATATCATTCTTTACGCTATGTTAAAGTGATATTGCTCTTGGTGTTATTAATACGCTTCTAAGTGTCCATGATGAAACCCAATTCTCTGGGACCATGGAAAACTCAATACCATGAGGTCCCATGGTTTTTCTGTCCTTTCACAAATAAACTTGAGGTGCCTATTTACTAACCCCTGAAACAGCATTCCACACTATTAAGCACTGCCCTCTACTTTTTAAGAAAACATTGGATTATTCAAACTCACATAAAAGAAACAAGAACTTGAGTCCCTCATTAGGAGTAAAGTCTAGGCAAGCTTTTTCCATAGTGGTTACTACAATGAAATCTTGATTTGTGTGAATCACAAGGAAGAGACTGGAAATAGTTAAATGAAAGGAAGTGCATACATAAATTCAATTATCATGCAGGAAACATGCAAATGATTTAAGCACTGCATCTGAAACTCTAGTTTATATTCATTAATCTCAGGTTGCACTTTTGAAGGAGAAAGACATGCTAATTGGGTCCAGATTAATGCACTCCCAAACCTCTCCAATTTGTTTTTAGGTGAGGGTTAAATGGTATGTTTTAAAATAAACACAGCTGCTCATCTGCCTCCACCTTCTACCTCCCCGACGACTCCACCTCTGCCTCCTCCCCCAGCTGGCTTAGCTCCGCCCCCCACCACCCACCACCAGTGGCTCACCTCCTCTACCATACCTCACCCCTGCTGGCTCAGCTCCCCGCCCTGCCACACCTCTCCTTCCTGTAGGGAAGGGATTAAAGACCCCTAACAATTTCCTTTTGAAGGTATACTGGAAGAATAGCACTGTTTCTTAGCCATTTCAATACCTTTCCTTTCCCCACAAGCCACCAAACTCCAGGAAGAGAGTCAATCACACATCACATCTGATGATGCCTCACTGTGGCATCAGGATGCGTACACATGGGAAAGGAGCCCACCGTTTTCTCGGACAGCTGGTTCTTTCTGCAAGTTTGGACCTGGGTCCTTTGAACCAGTACTAAAGGGTGGTTTCAAAACGTCCAGGCACATGCCTGCTTAAAGCCAAATTGCTTCAAGTTGGCATGGTGATCCTGTGCCTCAGTTATGTGGGAAACGAGAGGCTCAGGAGAGAACTTGGGGGTTTTTGTGGCTGTTTTTCCTCTGTGGCTTACTCAGTGAGCAAAAACTGGCACAAAGCAGAGGGCACTCTAAATTCTTTCCAAAAGGATCCCTTTCTTTCTTTCTCCTTCCTCCCTGGCAAAATTATCTTTAAAAAAAGAAGAACGCTATTTATTTATGTAGTTATTTCATTTATGGAGACGTTAAATAGCGTGTTTTAGGGAGAATCTTATCTTGTGAATAATGAAGCTTTTGAAATAGTAAAATATTCTTTTTTGGGACCTGATCTTTGGAAAAAGAAAACAAAGGAAGAGGAACTATGGGCTACTGGGAATAAATTTAGGCACAGAGCTGGGATGGCAGGGATTCTCTCTGAAAGAGCAGCCACCAATGAGTTAAACCAGGCACCAAAAAAAAAAAAAAAAAGAGAGAGAGAGAGAGAGAGAAGTCTTCAAACTAATTTCACACTGAAAGTGATGTTTAATTTGAATCATGCTGGTCCCAAAGGGAAAAGGTTAGTCTTGTCATTTGACACATATCCCTTCCCCTTCCTCCTTTCATAGGAATTGAAAATTCAGATTGACCATTAATCACAACATGACACGTTCTTTTTTTCCTGTTCCAAAAATCAAATGAAAGGCCTCGGACCACGTCTGAGAACCCACTGGTTGGCTAATTCTTCCAACCTACGTTCACAACACAGAGAAGACGAAAACAAAGCACATACGTACACGGAGACATGAATTACTGGACGTGCACTCACAGTGATACACACAAACACGGACAGCGACGGACAGTCACTGGCTCTGAGAGCCTTTGCACCTAAATTGATTTCTGCATAATCACAAATACAAAATTCGTCATAGTAAATAACAACAAGGGCAAGACTGGTATTAAATCTGTCAACATCCAGACACATGCTCAAAGCACTCTTTAGTTAGGAAATACACTTAGGATAGTCATCGCTCCTAGAAGAGAAAATGATTATACGCTAACCAAACCCTAAGTACAAGCTAAAGATATTCACCTCATGAAGCCATTCCTCAACTAGCCCCTTGGCACTTGCTGGAATTATTCACAGCACGAGCTCTACTTTCTCATTTTCTGCTGACTCCATGTGGGTAATTTCTTTCTCATGATTAAAAGTGAGCTTGGCAGATCCTTCAAAGCGTGGCTTTAGGTGTGGTGGGGCTCCGAGTGCATCCTTTGTCTATGGCAGGTTTCTAATAATTCATCGCTGGACCATTGGATGTGCAGATCAGGGGAATATTCATGCACCTAAAATGATTTTTTAAAAGGCAAATTTTTATAGATATCTTTATATAAACGTTGGTATATTGAAACATGCAGCTGACAGATGAAATGAACTGTTTACCTTGGAAAGAATAGGCAGGCTTTTCTCTTCCAAATAATCACTCCAGCCTTTCTGAATGTCATCCCAAAGCGAGTCTGCCTCCTTCGACTTATCCAGCATCTGAGGTTGTGAGATAACCCTTGCAGCACTGGCCTCCTTCCCTGGCCCCTTCATTATTAGCCTCCTGGTGAGTGAGATAGAATACAGTGAATGTAATAACCCTACTTCACACAACAGGCTTGCTCTCTCTTTTAAATTGAAAATCCCCTTATTACAAAACAAGGGGTGTTCTTTTTCTTCTACCTTTAAGTAGGACTGCCACATTCATTGCTTTTTACAAAAACGCAGCTGCTTTTTAAGCTACAGATAAATAGAATGTGCTAGGCAGTAATTCGACTCAGTCTGAATGCATTATTTTCTAAGACACTTTAGCGAGGGGCTTTTTATTATAAACTGGAATGAACAAGGAAAGTCCTTTTCTCTTCTAATTATGAATATGTTTTCTTCCCTACTATTAACCTACAATGTCAGATTGATCTTCTTCTTTTTCCGCAGCCAGTTCAATAAATCAACATTTTTTTTTCCTGGAAAATCAGAGGGTTAATGATTAAGTCTTCATGAACTTCAATGACAAAAATAAAAATAGCACAAGGGAAAAACAAATGCAAACTCTAAAACCGTAAATGAAGACAATGAAGTGGCCCTCTGATGTCCAAGGTAACAAATCCTGTTTTGACACCAAAAGTTAAGATAAAGGAGATTTATCTGTTCATTTTAATTAATTTAATTTTAACAAAATTAAGGCTTTCTGGGCATCTTATTACATTTGTTCACCTAGAGAGGAAATGATATTTAAAAAAAGGTAACATTTCTATATAGTGTGTCCAAACCTCTTGTGTTTGTTGTTTACTTGTTTATTTGGGGCAATAGTTTGCAATTTTATCAGTCATCCCTACACTTCTAGAAGCAATGAAATGAAGAATTGAAATATAAGATGAAACACTGTGATAAAGCGTATTCAATCTGAGCTTCTGCCGACATTTCTTTAACTCTGAAGATAAACACTGAGAAAAATGGTGAATTCCTAACAATATCAAAAAGTAGTCCTGAAACTAGGTGTTGGTTTAATTTTGATCCCAATGTTGATATTTCTGACTATAATATTACAATAGACCAGGGTGGCTATGCTCTGGGTCTACATGGATATATTGCCTTGCCAAAGGCGGGGCTATGGGGAGAGAAATCCCACAGGGTATCAGTGGGGTTCCAATTAAGGGAAAATAAATACTGCTGCAGCCCTGACAGTAAGTGGAGATTACCAGTATATCACAGAAGCACAGGCAGGTGCCCCATTTAAAGCTGATGCTGTCAGTCCCCTTCCTTCGGCAGTAATGGAAAGCAAAGTGCTGAAGATGAGCTGTGTGTGGCAGATAGTTTCAGAACGATCCATTCTTGTTTGTTTACATTATTTCAAGTTTATCTCCAGTAAGAGTGATAGTGGGGATTAAAGGGGCCCTGTGCAAAACACGAAGTCTTTCATGAACCGTGAACTGAGATCACATGCATATTCAAAATACTCCAGATGCAAGGTGTATCAGAGAGAGGGAAAGAGAGAGAGAGAAACAGAGAGAGAGACACAAAGAGAAACTTTGAAATGATATTTGTATCTAAAACCATGCTGCCAAACACATTCCTTTTGAAATTTTTAAAAAATGGGATATTTGTCACAAGTGAGATATAGACCAAAATTTCAGAGCACCCACTCTAGGAAGAGTGTATGTACAGTGCGTGGTGGTGACAGCGCTTTGAGATTCTACTACTCTGCTTAGATTTGAATCCGTTATTTGTCTTCTGATATGCCTGGGAACACATGCAGCACTGTCAGGCTGCTGGCCGTGGTATCAGGAGTCTCAGGGATGCTGTGGTAACGCAAAAAGCCCAGTTTACCCAGTGTAAATAACCAAGCCCCTTCACTGAGGGCACAGATTGGAGCATATTAGGCATCACCATAAGAGTGAAATTGAATGGCCACGCATCAATATCTCCATTGAGCCAACATCACAATAACAAGTCTGCTTTGGAAGTCAGGAATGTTTATTACTATACTACTGATATGTGAGGCAAATAAAAGAAGCAAAAGATTTCAGTTGTATATTTGAAGGAATTTAATTTCCTAGATATCCTGATAGAGAAACACATCATTTTTATACAAACAGGTTTTACTGAGTTACTCACAGAAATACCTTTGAACATCTGCTTTCCTCAATTCATTCTTTCCCCCTTTTAACCCCGAACAATCATTAACACAGACAAAAGGTAGATTAGGCAGGGTTGAATGTGAGCTTGGGAGGACAGCATACAACCACCACCTTCTGCCACCTGTAGTATTACTCTAAGGTATTGAAAAAGTATGTGACAATAATATAAGCCACCAGCCAGAACTCTTGGCCCTTATTAAACTTTCAAAATAATTAAATAAGTAGCTCTACTGAGAGCAACAGAGAAGGAGAGAAGAACAGCTGTCCTGTTGACGAAGACCCAATGGGACAGTGCTTCGACGAACTGGCTTCGTTTCATTCTCTCTTGGAGAAAAGAAAAATGAAAAGGAGAAACTAAGAAAGATGGGAAGTGGGAAGAGGTGATGAGAAAGAGGAGAAAGATGAGGAGGAAGAGAAAGATGAGAAAAAAGTAAAAAAAAAAATCCAATGATTGCAGCAAACGGATTATTTCGTTCCTTTCCATGTAAAAATAATCCTCTTCACACAATTCCTCTCTCTAAGCCTCATGCTCTGCCCCGTAAGTGGGGTGTAATGTGAGTTATCTGTGACAAACCCTGTAAGCAGTAGTTATCCAATAAGAAGCAGCTATTATTATTATTGGCACTGTTAATTAGGCGACCTATTCCCTTGCGACTCTCAACCTGAAAGCTCCTGATTAATTCCCCAGCCATCCCCCAAACTCTAAGAACACCCAGAAAAGCAAAATAACTCAGTACAAGCGGACACTGGCACTACCTCCTTCCTTCCTTCCACCAGATTCAAATCACTTTATGCTTGCAATGGAAAGTCTGAATACGGACTTTTTGTTTTACCTCCAGGTCCTAAAGAGTAGGAAAGATGATACAGCTTAGAAATGAGAAAGAGAAGGCACTAAATGTGTAATGATTAGAGCCAATTGGCTAAGCCATTCTCTGTTCTGAAACGGTTTAAGAGGTATAGCCAAGTTTCCAGTTTGCTAAGACATGACATCCACAGGCAGAAGCTAGAATCCATTTGTTTTTGGATTCCCAATCCCAAGTTCAAGTTAGTGTGCACATCTTACACATGGCTGCGCACACATGTGCAGACACACACACCCCTGCGTTAACAACTTCTCAGGTGTCCTGCGGCTCCAGTCAAGAAACAGACCTGCTTTAATTCCAGCACCTGAAAGTCTTCACACTTCCCCAGCTGGTGACAAAAACACTAAGCGACATTGCAAATATTGGGTAAATCTGACTTTACAAAACTGCCAAAATACCTCATCTCTATGACACGAAATGTCAGCTAACTCTACCCAGGTTGTGAAAGAACAACGTCAAGACTGCAACTCTACTGTCAAGATAGATTAAATTTCAAATAATAAAACAGCAGCTTCTTCTTAAACATACTTTATACATTTCAAATTTAACCAAAAATTTTTTTAAAAAACTTTAAATGAAAAAGATAAGCTATAGTATGAAAATAAAACTTCGGCATAAGTATACTTCGTTTCTTTTAAGGAAAAAAAAATACATTTCTGTGAATTTAAAAAACAGTCTGCTCTTCATCTCCTTTCCTGCAAGCCTTTTTTCTCAATAGGGTTGTTTGAAATGATCTCATTTATAGAAAGCCAAATACCTTATGATGATCAAACTTGACAAATTAGCATACAAGAAAATGCAGATTCTTAGAAGGGCAACTTCAAAACGGCTTTCTCCTCCTGGTGGCTGTTTGCCCATGAACCTGCCTTCCAAGCCAGAAAGAGGCTCCAAGCTCCACTGACCACAGGAAATTCCAGCCAAGATTCTAATCTCCTCTGCAGAAGGCGGTACAAAGGCCATGTATGGGAACAACAAAACAGAGTATGTGATTGAATTTCGTGTGTCCTACAAATGAGGAAACACCGGTATCTCCCTAGAATCACATTCAGCATGGAGATACTCTCAATATAAAAAGTCAGACAAGCTTTTTACTTTCTTGTCAAGGCTTCCTGACATCCAACACTTTCATAAGGTCAAGAAATGTGTCCCCAGCTTCTGTTTTCTGTTCTCCTTCAGGGAACACGGTGAAGAAGGGGCCGCCCTGCTGCCTTTTAGCACTTCACACTCGGATGGCTCCTTCCTTACTGGGGGGCATGTCTGCTGCGTGTGGACTCACAGAAGAAAAAGCAAAATCAATTTAACACAAAAGAAATTCACATATTTTTGCCTCTTTATTATTCTGGAGAGTGCATATGGTTTGGTTAAGTAAAAAAAAAAGTTTTATATAATGAAGATTACTGAGGCATAAATCACATAGGTAAAAACTGAGATGTAAGATGGTATGAAATCTAAAAGCTAATTAAATTCAACAAGGGCTTTTCAAAAGACAACACGCCCACTAATCTTCTCATGCTAATATTTTGTTTTTCAAGGAGGCAATAAGTGGAGAGTCGTCATGGTGGTAGATTCTACAATGTGATTCTTTAGCAAAAACCTGAGAAGGGGAAAAAAAAGATTAGATGCATGGATTTCTGTGTTGAATGGATGCTGGGGCCAAGATGCAAAGAATAGATAAGTTAGACCTTCGGAGGAACTAAATTTGAAGCCAGCCAGTAAAATATATTGAACCTTATTACCTCTAGTCACTGAGAAATTCCCGAGACAGTTGGATGCAATTTGAAAAGGTCAGAAAAATATTTTCTGCACAGCATTACTGCTTCATGGTTTAAGGGTGTACATTTGTGAGATGCCAACTCTAATCATTTTTATTGACTTTGCTTTCCAGAGACAGACAGACAGTCTGGGAGGCAAGACCACTAGATAAGAGAAAGGCAATCTTATAAATGAAAATCTCTCTTATTTTGTTCTCTCATTTGTGACTATGGAGAATTCCAAATCTTGCCCATTTGAGGAGAAATTATACAAACTTCACTGAAGACTGACCGAATGGAAATCTAGGAAAA